AGGTGTAGATCACTTCAAGGTGTTGTTTGAGAGAAGTTTTTGTTCAGAGATCTTGGCTTTTGGAGAACAATACTGATTTGAGAAAGACAGTGAAAGTAAAGTATTTTGATTTGAAAATAAATTCTCGTGTCTCTTTTAAGGGCCACATAGCTTATTTTTTGGCCAGTGTGAATACTCACTGACCCTTCATGAACTTTGTTTTGGAGTGTTATATTTATAGAAACCCAAGAATTATGTTTGTCTTAACTCTGTTCATGACTTTATGAGCTATAAATGTGAGCTCAGTGTTTTTATGGCCTATGGCAAGCACTTTTTTTTTTTTCCAAAAAAGAACTTTGTATTTTGAAATAATTTCAAACTTATAGAAAAGTTATGGGAATGATATGAATAAGTTGCTTATATTTCTCTAGATTCACCAATTTTTAACATTTTGCATATTTATATTTTCACTTTTGTTCTATATCCATACGGAACTGTTTTTGAACCATTTGAAATGGATTACACATATCATGCCCCTTACCCTTAATTCTTCAATGTTTATTTCCTGAGAACAAAGACATTCTCTTACAACCACAGTACCATTTTCAAATTCAAGAAATTTAATATTGGTATGCTTTTTACTGACAGTTCATTTTCCAGTAAGCACTCGATTGAGCACAAGAACTAAATTTTGTTTTCAAGCTGTGTTTCTGCAGGGTTTCTCTTCCTCCCTAGATCATTTTCAGTGAGTCTTTCTTTCCTCTCTCCTCTCTGCCTGGTTTTATTTATTTTTTAAAAAAGCTTTATTATGACGTAATTCACATACAGTACATTCCACCCATTTAAGATGTACAGTTCAAGCTAGGTGTGGTGACTCAGGTCTGTAATCCCAGCGCTTTGGGAGGCAGAGGTGAGAGGATTGCCTAAGCCCAGTTGTTTGAGACTAGCCTGGGCAACTTGGTGGGACCTTGTCTCTACAATAAATTAAAAAATTGGCCAGGCGTGGTGATGCCCACCTGTATTTCCAGCTACTTGGAGGGCTGAGGTGAAAGGATCACCTGAGCCCAGCAGGTCGAAGCTGACATGGTCATGAGTGTGCCACTGCCCTCCAGCCTGGGCAACAGAGTGAGACTCTGACTTTAAAAAAAAAATAGCTGGGTACGGTGACTCATGCCTGTAATCCCAGCAGTTTGGGAGGCAAAGGGGAGAGGATTGCCTGAACCCACGGTTTGAGAGCAGCCTGGGCAACTTGGTGAGACCTCGTCTCTACAAAAAATGAAAAAATTAGCCAGATGTGGTGGTGTACACCTGTAGTTCCAGCTACTTGGAAAGTTGAGGCAGAAGGATCACCTGAGCCTGAACCCAGCAGGTTGAGGCTGTGGTGGCCATGAGCGTGCCACTGGACTCCAACCTGGGGGACAGAGTGAGACTACAACTCAAATAAATAAATAAACAGATAAATAAATAAGTGAATGAATGAATGTGCATTTCGACTGTTTATTCACAGGGTTTTGTGGAGTCATCACCACCATTTAATTTTAGAAAATTTTCATTCCCAACTAAAAGAAACCCCTTACCCATCTGCAGTCACTCCCTACCCTTCACCCCCCAGCTCAAGGCAACCAGCCACTAACCAACTTTCTGTTGGTATAGATTTGTCTCTTCCTGACACTTATAAATGAAATCACACCATGTGTGACTTTTGTGTCTGGCTCTTTCACTTACCCTTATGTTTCTTTTAAGGGTTAACCTTTTTTTCTTTCTGTTTTTTTTTTCTTGTTTGTTTGTTTGTTTTGAGTCGGGGTCTCACTCTGTTGCCCAGGCTGGAGTGCAGTGGCATGCTGCTCACGACCACCGCAGCCTCAACCTGCTAGACTCAGGTGACCCTTCCACCTCAACCTTTTTTTTTTTTTTTTTTTTTGAATTGGAGTCTCACTCTGTCACCCAGGCTGGAGTGCAGTGGCCGCTCCCAGCCACCGCAGCCTCAACCTGATGGGCTCCGGGGATCCTCCCGCCTCAGCCTTCCAAGTAGCTGGAACTACAGGTGCGCGCAACCACGCCCGGCTCATTTTTTAAAAATTTATTGTAGAGATAAGGTCTCGCCAAGTTGCCCAGGTGGGTCTCGAACCCACCGGCTCAGGCAATCCACTCACCTCAGCCTCCCAAAGTGCTGGGATTACAAGCTGAGCCACTGAGCCCGGCCATAGAGTAATTTAATTATTTAAATGAAACTGAGGTCTTGCTTACTACTTTTTAAAATAATAGTTTTATTGAGATCATTCTTTAGTAGATTCCTTACTGTTTCAATGTAAGATCATGTTGTCTGAACTGAACTGAGGTAGTTTTACTTTTTTCATTGCAATCTTTTTCTTGTCTAATTGCTAGCCATCTACTTTTTAGGAACGCTCTTAAAAGAACAAATATTCTTTATTTTAAACAATTGAAATATTTCACAAACACCTAAAAATTAGGAGAAGAGAATCTAAGATTGAAAATTTTATTAAGTTTGTACTTTTAGAGAGTCTGGAACATGAAATGTTATGTAGTGATCTAAGGAAGGAAAGAATGAGAAAGAAAGCTGAAAACAGACAGAACTTTAACGTCTGACATGCCGTGGACCAAAACGTCAGTTTTTTAAATGCTTTTATTTTAAATTTTTTAATACATACTTTTTATTTTAAAATTGTGGGGTACAGTTAAGGGTTAGGTATACAGATATGCATTGTGCAGGTACCCTTGCAAAATGTCAATTTGATAACTTTTGCACCAAAAGTTTCGGCTTAGTTTTGGAAACTTTCTCCCTGGGAAAAGCAGAAGTGGTAGAAACAGAATTGGCAGGATTCACTTTACTATCAGCTTTATAGGCACGTCTTTTTCATAAACTGAAAGATATCTTTTTTTATTATACCTTCAGTGTGTCATAATGAAGATAAAAAACATCATATACATTTTTGACTAGGATGTGATTATTTGCAAGCTAGATCATCTTTGCTGTCAAATTGAAGGTACTAGTTACCAAATAAAGAAAAATCCTCAGTAAGGAGATTAGGCCAGGCATGGTGGCTCCTGCCTGTAATTCCAGCACTTGGAGAGGCGGAGGCGAGAGGATTACTAGAACCCAACGGTTTAAGACCAGCCTTGGGCAACTTGGCAAGACCTCATCTCTGCAATAAATCAAAATATTAGCTTGGCGTGGTAGTGCATGCCTGTAGTTCCAGCTACTTGGAAGGCTGAGGTGGAAGGATTACCTGAGGCCAACAGTTTGAGGCTGCAGTGGCTGTGAGCGTACTACAACTCCAGCCTGGGTGACAGATACTCCAACTCAAAAAAAAAAAAAAAAAAGATTAAATGAGGGAAAACCATCATATAATAATATAAATTCTATTGGATACCAGGAAAATTGAACCATTGAAAAGAATAAATTTAACTAATTTGAAGAGTCACTGTTGCAGTGGAAAATGCCTTCAAAGAATGTTGCATACAATCCTTTTCAAGTAGCTTTTTTTTTTTTACTTGGAGTCTCACTCTGTTGCCCAGACTGGAGTACAGTGCCATCTCCCTGCCACTGCAGCCTCGACCTGCTGGGCTCCAGCGATTCTTCTGCCTCAGCCTTCCAAGTAGCTGAAACTATAGATGCGCGCTACCATGCCCAGCTAATTTTTGATTTATTATAGAGACGAGATCTCGCCAAGTTACCCAGGTGGGTCTCGAACCCGCGGGCACAGTCTACTCTCCTCAGCCTCCCAAGGTGCTGGGATTACAGGCTGAGCCATTGAGCCCGGCCTCAAGTCGCTTTTAATCAGAAACCATATTTAACCTTTTTGTTCAAACCATAATGATGAGGTTATGGAGAAATTGGAACCCTTGTGCATTGTAGGTAGGAATGTAAGATGGTGACTCCACTGTGAAAAACAGTTTGCCACTTGCTCAAAAACTTAAGCATAGAATCACCATGTGTTCCAGCAATTCCACTTGGTATAAACACAAAACAGTGGAAAACACGGACTCATGGATATCTGTACACCCATGCTCATTATTCATGGTACCAAAATGCAGAAGCCACTCAGGTGTTCATCAGTGAATGAATGGGTAAATGTGGCATACCCAGCAAAGGAATAGTGTTCAGCCTTTAATAAGGACATTGACTTATGACATGGATGGACTTTGAAGGTCTTAAAGACTAAGTGAAACAAGCCAGTCACAAAAGGGACAAATACTGTATGATCCCACTGATGAAAGGTACTAGAGTTGTCAGTTCATAGAGACAGAGTCGAAGGGTCACCCCCAGAGCTGTGGGGAGCGAAGGCTGGGAGTTAGTGCTGACAGTGCAGAGGCTCAGCCCGAGAAGTTGAAAGGTTCTAAAGGGTGGGTGGTGGTATACTACAGTGTGGGTGTACTTAATGCCACTGAACTGTACCCTTAAAATGGTTAAAATGGTAAATTTTATGTATGTTTTACCATCCAAAAATTAAAAGAATAGTCACGGTATTATCTTTGAACCTGAGATACTAGGCTTTGAGTTTAAATAACCATTATCATGGCCATGAAATTGATGAGGTTTTTCTGTTCCTTATATCCCTGTGTGTGGGCTTCTACTATAGTAGGTGAAAATCTAGAAGGTGGGATTGTTATAAATAAGGTGCCAATCACAAGGAATACCATCCAAAGAGATCTCTGGGAACCTTGTTATGATGAGAACGTTATTCCCCATATCAAACCCTTTGCCAGATGCTTCACCTTACAGGATTTCAGTGTATAACGTAAACCCTGAGCGTCTTCCTCCTGGATGTACAAGGGAAAAGGCTTCTTGAACATGTGTCTGAGGCTTTTGAAGCATATGTTTTCACTGTATTAATGAAAACTGGATTCTAAGGACTTCCATATTGTGATAGACTCAGGGAAAAGTCTGGGCTTCCTAAGCAGTTTATTCTCTCAAGGACCAAATGTGACGGTTGACAACTCCCCATTTTACATAGGCCTTCCAGAGGGATTTTAAAAGTCTGTCTTTTCTTATTATTCAGGTCAATCTTGGAGAAGGAGGGACCAAAGTCACTTTTTAGAGGCTTGGGTCCAAATTTGGTTGGAGTTGCACCGTCAAGGTAAGCATTGAGCTTTCCCGTGTGTCTTGCTGGCTGGGTTCCTTCCTATCCGAGGGTGATCCTGCTGAATAACCAGTGTCTTTTTCTGTGTTGGATTTGCCTACATGTATTTGACATAGAGAACAATCAATGATAACTGTGGGTGTGTCTTTTGGTGGGTAAGAAAGAGATTCTAGTTTCTGCATTTTTTTTTGAGTCGGAGTCTCACTTTTCGCCCAGGCTGGAGTGCAATGTCACGCTCACAGACACCACAGCCTCAACCTGCTGGGCTCAGGCGATCCTTCTGCCTTAGCCTTCCAAGTAGCTGGGACCACAGACTGGCTAATTTTTTTTTTTTGGTAGAGACAAGGTCTCACCATGTTTCTCAAGTTGGTCTCAAACTCCCGAACTCAGGCAATCCTCTCACCTCTGCCTCCCAAAGTGCTGGGATTACCGACGTGAGTCACCGTGCCTGGCTTAGTTTCTGTATTTTTTTTGGGGGGGCAAGCAAGATTTATTGAGAAAACAGAAAAGCTCCCATAGAGGGAGGGTACCAGAAGGGGTTGCCTGTTTCTGTATTTTTTTTTTTTTTGAGTTGGCGTCTTACTCTGTTGCCCAGGCTGGAGTGCAGTGGCATGCTCATGACCACCCCAGGGTCAACCTGTTGGGCTCCCGCGATCCTTCCGCTTCATCCTGTCCAGGTAGCCAGAAATACAGGCATGTGCTACCACACCCAGCTAATTCTTAATTTATTGTAGAGACGAGGTCTCACCAAGTTGCTCAGGATGGTCCCAAACCGTGGTCTCAGTCAATCCATTCGCTTTGGCCTCCCAAAGTGCTGGGATTACAGGCTGAACCACCGACCCCAGCCAACTTTACTTTCTATAAAATGACCTCCTCATATATTTTTGCAAGGCTTAGTTTTCTTTTCTTTTTTTTTTTTGAGTTGGAGTCTCACTCTGTCACCTAGACTGGAGTGGAGTGGCACACTCCCGGCCACCGCAGCCTCGACCTGCTGGGCTCCGGCAATCCTTCCGCCTCAGCCTTCCAAGTAACTGGAACTACAGGTGCATGCTACCACACCCGGCTAACTTTATGATTTATTGTAGAGATGAGGTCTCACCAAGTTGCCCAGGAGGGTCTCGAACCCGCGGGCTCAGGCTCTCCACTCACTTCAGCCTCCCAAAGTGCGAGATTACAGGCTAAGCCACTGAACCCGGCAGCTTAGTTTTCTTTAAAGCCTGTTTCAATATGTAGAGCTGTACTGTCCCAATGCTTACGGTAGCCACATGGAGCAGTTTAAGTAGGCTGACATGGTGGCTCACACCTGTAATACTAGCACTTTGGAAGGCAAAGGTGGGAGGATCACTTGAAGCCAGTTTTGAAACCGGCCTGGGCAACATAGCAAGCCCTCATCTCTACAGAATATAAAAAAATTTGGCCGGGCTCAGTGGCTCAGGTCTATAATCTCAGCACTTTGGGAGGTTGAGGTGAGTGGATTGCCTGAGCCCGTGGGTTTGAGACCAGCTTGGGCAACTTAATGAGACCTCATCTCTACAGTGAATCAAAAGTTAGCTGGGTGTGGTAACGCATGCCTGTAGTTCCAGCTACTTGGAAGGCTGAGGCGGAAGGATCACTGAAGTCCAGCAGACCGATGCTGGGTGGCCATGAGCGTGCCACTGCACTCCAGTCTGGGCGACGGAGTGAGACTCCAATCAAAAAAAAAAAAAAAAAAGCTGGGTGTAGTGGTGCTAGCCTGTAGTCCCAGCTACTTTGGAGGCTGAGGCAGAAGGATCGTCTGAACCTCAGGAGGTTGAGGCTGTGGTGAGCTGTGATCCTGCCACTATACTTTAGCCCGGGCTACAGAATGAGACTCCAACTCAAAAATAAATAAATAACTTTGTATTAGTTAGAATTAAAAGTTCAGTTCCTCAGTTTTAGTTTCAAGTACTCAGTATCTGCATGTAGCTAGTGGCTACTGTATTGGAGAACATAGGTAAAAAACATTCCATATCTCCAGAAACTTCAGTTGGACAGTGCTGGTTGCGAGGATGACCACCTGTGGATGTGAAAGGGAAAGGGAGAAGGAATAGCCTCTCTCTGGGAAGTAGACAAGAAACTGCTTCTCCACATGACCTCCTGGGAGGGGAACTGAGTGGCAGAGGCACTTACATTATTCCTGTAACACTTGAAGAGACTTCAAAGAAAATTAAGCCTTACAGCAAGAATGAGAATGTTGTCTTAGATAAGATGACCCAAAGCTTATAGAATTCCTCTAGGTCAGTGTTCCTATTAAACACAAATTACCCGGGGATGTTGTAAAAATGTAGACTTTTATTAAAGCCTTTTGTGCTTTTAAAATTTTGTAGCCAGACTTGGTGACTCAGCCTGTAATCCCGCGCTTTGGGAGGCTGAGGTGAATGGATTGCCTGAGCCCGCAGCTTTGAGACCCACCTGGGCAACTTGGCGAGACCTTATCTCTACAATAAATCAAAAAATTAGCTGGGCGTGATAGCGTGCCCCTGTAGTTCCAGCTACTTGGAAGGCTGAGGCAGAAGGATCACCAGAACCCAGCAGGTCAAGGCTGCAGTGCCAGGAGCGGCCACTGCACTCCAGTCTGGGCGACAGAGTGAGACTCCAACTCAAAAAAAAAAAAAAAAATTTGTAGCATGTGGCCGGACGCGGTGGATCATGCCTGTAATCCCAGCACTTTGGGAGGCCTAGGCGAGAGGATTGCCTGAGCCCAGGGGTTCAAGACCAGTCTGGGCAACTTAGTGAGA